AACAAGCTACTCTAACAAAAGAAACGATATCACCCAGCGAGTGATCGCCTTGGCGATTCACCGACTTACAACTAGGTACGCTGGCCGTGCGACTTTCTATCTGAAGGTAGCCGGCGCGTTAACGCCTTGCCACCTTCTTGAACGCGCCCGTCGCCGTATTACCAGAGAGAGAGAGAGAGAGATTTAAAAGACAAAGAAGTTGACCTAGCTGCCGGTGATGCCTTTTTGTGATGAACTTTTGGGCCTCTCTTCCTTCCGCTTGCTCTCTCTCTTTCCGATTGACTGACGAAACTACAAGTACTGTCCGCGGCCGTCCGCTAGCTCTCGCATTTCTCCCCATTTAACCTATTTCTTAGCCGGTATACGACGTGCCGCTTATCGGTCACGCGTCGCACGTTTGTCTAAACCTGCATACGCCAAACGTAGGCTCTCTCTCTCTCTCTCTCTCTCTCAAATTCCTTGTTGTACTGATCTCCATAATTTGGTTTCAACGTCCGAGAAAAAATTTTTCTCAAAAACTCCCTATGTTTTACTAAATTTTATAATTATCTACGCACGCTGATTCACTCTATTTGCCGCATTACATTTTATTTATGCAATATGTCTTACTAAATTTTATAATTACGAACTTCGGTCCAATAATTTTCCTCTTGTGTCGCATCTGAATATAAATTAGATATTTTTTTTTGGTTTATTTAAGCAAATGCGTTTTAAACAATGATATGCCATTTTATGGAAAAATTGCAAAGCATATTCGGACTCAACGCCTCAAAATGTATAAAAATCATCAATTTTTGTCCTTTCATATACAAATGCAAACGGAAACCTACCACGGACTAGTACTGAAGCGTCGAGATTCGCTGGCTTTCATGCGGATGGATATATATATGGGTGTAGGGTGGAGGTGCGTGCGTGTGCCCATGCATGCTTGCGTGAATTCCGATTTTGAAAACATATACTCAATTGTCGTTCGTGGATCCCACATCGTTTTAAATTTTGTAAATATAAAACAAAGGTTTAAAAAGGGATTCCACATGTTCAGATCTTTATAGTTATTGCCGTATTATGATATAGAGGAAATTGCATGTAGACAAAGAATAATTACATTATTATATGTACGTTAAGACCCTAAAATGTATAGCAAAAATTTATGAGATTAGGGATAAGTCTTATTGATTATTTATAAGTAATTGTTTCTGTCTGTAGTATAAATCAACAATATTGCCTTCGAGTTTAAAAAACTTGTGCGATTCATTACCAATCTATAGAGATGACAGTTATTTTGAATTTTCAAAAGCTAGTAATTGTTATCGTTTTATTACTTAGATATCATCAAGATAAATAAATGTAACCTCGCTTCACACATCTTTCAATAAAACAGAAAACTTAGAAAGCCTTAATAATTGCATTTATATTGGCCATTACTTTGCGCAACAATAATTATTATGTTGAGTTATGCGAATGTCCTGCAGACTGAATGATAAAAAATAAAGAGGGGAAATTGTGTGAAAACGGCATGAAATATTAAAGCGTTATTTATATTAAGGAAAGGGTAACCCCGCGCAAGGCAACGGTTGCGATACTGGCGTAGAGTGTAGAACGTGTACAGTATAATTAGCCGATGCTCGATAAATCCGGAAAGAACATATATCTAAAATAATATAGTCGTAAATAATAAAACAGGCCACCGGAAATCTAGGTTGCAGTGACGTCACCTTCCGTCTGATGTGTGTATGTGTAAGCGTGTATCAGTTATTTATGTGCCTTGGGTGAGCCAAGCGCCAGTATGGTATGGGGAAAATGTTTGTAGCGCGGGATAGTATAAGGCTGAGGCAGTGAGCGCTTTATTTTTTGCGTTTTACGAACATACATTTTCAAAATTAAAAAAAAATTTTTTAAATAAGTTAACGGCACAGAATCGACCGAAATAAATTCATAATATATAAATGAAATATCGATTTATAATTCTCTATTATTAATTATGTTTATTCAAAACTAAACTTTGCAATAAAGACATTCGATAAATCTATCCATCCTATAAATATAAATGAAATTGCAGTGTATTAAAATTACTTTATCATATTATTTTAAGATTAGGCTGTTGAGAGAATGTGGTCGTTATTGACTTTTCAATGCCTATTAATTGTCTTAATTTTTATTCGTTTAATTGATTGAGTTTAAATTGATATAAAACGCCTCAGTCTACTATTATTATTTAATTAATAATAAAAAATATGTAAAAAACATTTTAAATAAATGTGTTTTAATAAAAAAATGTGTGGATCAAATGGAACCATAGTTGAGACCAAGGGTTGATTAAACCTACAATTGATAAATGTACTATCCTATTATATTATTATACAATATGTAACATTACATACTTAATAGTAGTGATTACGGCCCTAGTCTTATATTAGTATAAGTAATACGTTTTACATCGTGTTTTATTTTTGTTACTTCGTTGAAAACACTCGTCATCATTCTTCAAATTTAACGGGTTTAATATTCTGATAACTAGTTTCCATTGCCTGCATGTATCTTTTAATTTACAATGTACAAAATACAAAAATATATTTACTTCTATTTTATTCTATTCACTTTTTCTCTCATTTAACCAAATTTTAAAAAAATATTCATTTCAATATTACAGATGGTTATAAAATTATTGATCTGTACTGATCATTTTAAAACATAACCTATTGTTTTCTAAAAACGATTTATTAACGGCATATTTCTATTATTTCTAATTATTCATAAATTGAATCTATTGCTAAAAGACTCACAATCCTAGACATAAAGAATAAATATTTCAAAGTATAAGGAAATTCAAAAATTTGTCGTTTTTGTTAGAATCAATTAATCGCAACGCTGGATATGGACAAGTCATCATTTTTAAAGATAGGATTGGTCATGTCATATACAGCACATGTAAATGATGTGTATTATGCTGCTTCACAATTGAAATTGAAATCAGTGGTAATAAGTTTTAATTTTTCAAATTGTAAACATTTAATTAAGTAGTTTTATTTTTATTTTTATATTATATCAACAAGATAGAAACATACACAATATTTATAAAAAATGGCATGATCAATGAGTATATAATACGGTTTTGACCAAACTATAATTGTACACATGTGTACACATATAACATACACGTGCGGTGCACGCGTATGTGTGCGTATGGTATGATTCTGAACGAACTATTTAAAATTAATTGGTTGCGTGAACGGTTTCTGTTGTGCATTGAGTGCACATCAAATACGGTAACCATCGATGCGTTAGCATATCTTGTATCGAACGCGAGCATACAGCCCCCCCCCTCTCTCTCTCTCTCTCTTGTTACTGCTCTGAACTACCTTATAAGGGCTCACTGTTCATGATATAATTAACAGCTTTGGTATTTGCAACATATCTCCATGAAAATTTTCATATTTAATTTTTAATAATTCACCTGAAAGGTTTTATCTTAAATTTAGCGCTTTTATTTTTAAAAGATGCTACGAAAGTTTTTTTCTATTTTTTCGAATGAAAGTTACGCTTAACACATTGAACAAAATGATCAAAAGTTATTGATAATTTCACAGAGTGCATGTATGTATGTACACACCCTTAGTCACTGCAAATGATTAACATTAATAAAATATTAATATCAGCCTAACAACGAAGAAAATGAACCTGAGTGGATTTGTAATTTTTTTTCAGTTTTTTCAGTATTTTGAAAATTTATTTTTAAGTTAAAAAAGTTGAAAAATCGACTCTTTTGCAAAAGTGCTTCATTCAATCAAATAGATCTAAAACATAGAAAATTTGTTAGTCTACGATAATTTTTATTCACCGGATGTTCAGGAAAGCGTGGTAAGCTCAATTTTTCAAAAAATTAGATGTTACAATTAAGAAAAGTCTCTGGGACCCTTTATTAGTATTTTGAGACTTTCGTCAAAGAAAATGAACGCTTATATCGAGCACTTTAAATTAAAAAAAAATTCTCAACGATTTTTTCATTAAAACAGTTTTTAGACAATTCAGAAGATATTATCATATTTAAGATTTTCATTTTTTAATACTTTTCTGGTTCCTTAAAGAGTATAAGTTTAATAATTAACTAAGATATATCATATAGTCATTTCAAAGATATTATAAATATCGCAAGATATAAAGGAATCTTACATAAAAAAAGAGAATGCGAAGAAAGGACTGCATCTAAATTTGGCTCATGAAAACTATATATAAAGAGTGATATCTTTATTTATTTATATGTACGTGTATGCGTGTATATGAGAGATATAAATGCCGAGGGGTTGAATAATTATTCAACCCTAGGCAAACTTTTGTGAAAGATGCGAGGGAGAGAGAGAAAGGAAGGAACTAACTGTACTAGAATCATACTCTTATAATCACATGTGTTTATAAATTATAATGTATAAATATATCTTTATGAATGTTTATAATTTCATTACCTTTAGTTTATTCACATCTTTCAAAAAAGGTAAAACTGGTATTTTGTATTATGTCCATCTTTATACTCAATTGCAGAAAGTTAACCTTTGGTTTATAAAGTTTAAAATTAACAATATAATATCTATTACTTATGTACAGCTAAAAAATTGATTTCAGATCATGTATACATTTTTCTAATCAAATTGTAGTTATACATCAAACAGTAATCCTAAATATATTTGTTAAAGTCACACTGTTAAAAAGTAACAAATAATACTATTTATTTAAAAAATTAATAAAAACAATAGCTTTATTTAGAAAACTGAACAAAAAATTTTAAAAATGTCATATCTGTAGCAAGCTGTCAACACGACTGACTAAAAAATCGAAAAACCAAACAAATGAAAAAATAACGAAGTGCTTAGTAACGCAGTTGTTCTTTTCTTAACAATCGAGCAACGTTTACACACATTCCATAATTATGCTATTGCTTTTGAAACAGATATTGAAATTTAAAATTTTACGTAGCAATATCTAACCTATTATCTATTGATTTACAGATTTCGAATGGATCATTAAAAACTTAGACGACATTTATCTTTGCTGTCACTGTGATCGAGGTAAGCTACCTCTATTCATAATTCGTAATTGATTATGAATATCTGTATATTATCATAAGTATCTACGGTATGAAATCGATTCATAGTTTTTTTTTTAATGCATTCTTTAACTTCGCGTTAGATCATTATTTAAGACTGATTATATTTTAATTCTTATTTGTTATTCTATTCGCAATAATATGTTATTTCTCGGCACTGGTAAGATAACGAAAATAACTTCAAAAAATGTTTACCAAAATGAATACAATAATGCGATATTTTTTACTCTCTGGTCGGGTATTCTGTTTAGGACTCATCTTTATCAATACTCTTATTCTAAATGATATTCTAAAATAATTATCGCTATTTTTTTTCTAATTTAGTTATTTCAGGTCGCATCCTCCTTGTAGGTATTGGCGACTTGTACAGTATATTACATTATTGTTATTATAATACGTTTACATATTTTTGTATGGAAAAGTATTTATATATTTTGTACACTACTTTTGTACAACATAAGTGACGCTGAAGAATCTGCACTTCCAGTATATGATTTTTCCAGAAGTGACGGTATTGGAAATGCTAATTTTTGTATTCTGAAGTAAGATTTACTATATTATAGTCAACTAATAGTTGAGTAATACACACACGCACGTGCGCTGTGTACGCATGATAAAGATGACTAATAAATAAAGTTTAAAGTTAGAGCTTTAAAGTATTGTGTTGCGAAAGCAAACAGTGTTGTTAACATCTGCACAAATGCATTTTATTGGGTAAATGTTGGTTTATAACTATATTGACTTTTTATTTAAAATAAGTTAAGTTTGATGTACACAGCTCGGACATGAATTCGTGTATACTTAATATAATTTTAAATTAAAAAATAATTAATTCATTTAAGTATAATATACCATTCATAAAAGTATTCATATTATTTTCTATGATGGCATTTTGTTTCAAGAAAGGAATCTTTAAATTTTTATTTTAATAATTTGATAGAACATCAATATTATTTAAGAAGACTTAAATCTTACTACATATGATTATAAAGAATAATTTAATATCGCTTGAGTTCAAAAACAAGTAATTCTGATAATCATCAATGAAACTCGTTAAAGTATTCCTATCGTTTTAAGACTATAAATATTCTAAAAATTATGAATATAATTGAACAATCCAACAAATTTAGCTATACAAGAAGTTCGATCGTAATTATATGAAGTCTTCGCTCGAACTACATTATTATAACAATGCGTAGATGTCCCCGGCAGCCACACTTGATTCACAAATTCAGGTTTCTAAAGACAATCGTTAGGCGGTGCCTCTCCGCGCCGTTCTCTCTAAACCCTTTGGCTTCAGAGTGATTAGCTATTTTATCCGCTAAAAAACTCTGAGGTGGGTAAATAAAAATGAGAGGAAGTAATGCAGTTTGAGTGAAGACCTCCTATAATTACCATCGAACTTCACGTACAGGTAAGTTCATTTGATCGGTCAATTATATTATGCTACAACAATGAATAGTTGTTTTCATCGGCTTTTGATCCTACGGCATATCCGGTAAAATGGCCTGTAAAAATATCAGTATCAATACCGCTTATTTTTAAGATTTCTTTTAGCCATTTAAAGAGTTTGCGCCTACTGGTTTCTTAAGCTTATAAATAAACTATCAATATCATTTATTATAATCTTGGTCATCTACATATATTTAGTTATTAAATTAACAACGCATTAATTCAGCTTTTCTATAAAATTTGGTGATTGAAGTAAAGGTTACTCTTTACCTACTGCTGTAGTTTTTAATAATTCCGGGCTCTTAATTATACCTCTATCTACTACTTTAATGTTAGATATTTTAATCAAAGACAACGTTTGCGCTCTTTGTGCTGTACCAAGGGCGAGTAGAATAAGCATTTTTTTCGTTAAATTAACGAGGTTATCATAATTCATTACTTCGAGATAATCAGCACTATTATTACGTCCCAAGTACCTATATATTTGGGCTTGTCGAGAATGCATTTGTATAAAAATATCGATGCATTTATATAAATAGTTCTATCATAGCAACCATCTTTGATATAATGTACTGTTCTGTGTAAATTTTGTGTCCACTATTTCAGATCGTTAAAAACTAAGTCTGGTAGTCATTCTGTATCAATATTATAATCGTTTATAATCAATTGTAATTTTTTTCCTTCTCTAAATTCTTAGTATATAGCCAAGCATACTCGTCTGCTGGGCACGCTGCGACTAATTTACCAATTAAAAGTGCAAAATTCCTAATTAAAATTTGAGAGAAGAAATTTATTTACCAATTCAATAAGTTGGTCTCTTTTTCGATCTGGTAAAGATATGTAATATTTAACCATATCAATGCTCACACCCAGAAATGTACCTTGTTGAAAAGGAATAAGACTTAATTTCCTATACTATAAAATATAAATACGAGAATAATTACTTACTTTATTTTTCGTTCTCATTATAGCGGTCGAAGGTATGTTCTATGCTCATATAATCATCAAAATACAATTACATTTTTAGAACCTCAACTTTTTAACACTTTGATAGATACTTTGAGTAATTTAGTAAAAATATATGGCGCGGAACTCAGCTCGAAAGGAAGACATATGAACTCAAAAAGTTTTCCTTTGAACTTAAATTTGACGTATTTTCTACTTTCTTTATCTAGTGCAATTAAAAAATATGCGTCCTTGAGATCAATAGATGCTATAAAATCATTTGGAAATGTTTACGCCACCGCGGCTCTCAAATTCTCCATATTGAAGTGCTCTTTAACAACAACCTGATTTAAATATTTTAAGTTTAAAAAAAACGGTCTTTATCGTTAGGTTTCTTTACTAAAAAATATGGCAACAGTGCCTGACCTTCTAGCCTAACGGTTTCGATCACTGATTTCTTACGTATGAGCTCATTAATCGCAACTCTACTCTCTTGCTCCTCACCTGGGAAACAGCCATAGCTCACGTCAGCATCCACCAGTGATTCAATGAAGCGAATTTTATAACCAAGAACAATGTTTAAAATCAATTGTCCATTTGTAATTTTAGCCTAAGTCGCATGAAAATTGCGTAGTCAACCTGCTATACGACTCATACTAACCAATTAATCTTCTGTTTCTGATTCTACGGTTGTCAGCCTGGGTCGGCTCTGCTTCTTGAGTTCTAGGCTCGGTGATTGACGAACTGCTGCTTTCCTTTGAAAGAAAATCTTGGTGTTTCCTATCCTCTGAACTACGTATACCCTGTACTACGAGGACGAGTATGAGGCATTGAAATTTGACTGCTCAGGAGCCTTGGAAGTGCTTGGTTGCTATAGCTTCAGCAAACTCTTGCGCTCTTTCGGTAGAGCTTTGGATTCCTTTATTTTCAAGGATAATTCCTTGCCGTACAAATAATCATCGATCTTGGTATCCTTTAACATGTCCACCGTCTCTTTGTTCAAACCTGGCTCAACAAAAGTCTTTCTATTGAGGGATTGCTTGCTCATCAACAAAGCAGACAACTCTTTAATGTTCTTAAGTGGTTCTCGAATTTCCGATAAGTCCAAATCTTCCTCACGATTTTCATAAACTTTTGTTATTAACGCTTCTGATTTTTAAGAGCAGACCACTTATGTCTTGAATTTTAATCATGTCACAATCATGAGCCTTGGCTATATCTTTTATAGTAGAGGAATTTGAGGATTAATCTTTGGTGCCTCGAAGTCCGGCGCACGTACATGTTTCTTAAAAAGATTTCTCTTTTTCCGTAAGTAAAAGTAAAATTTCCGTATCTTTGATATTTCAGGGCAAATTTCAGTCAGCATTAAGCATGTAGCTGATGGATCCTCTCCAACCTATATATATGTAAGAAAAAATCTTTGTGTATATATAGAGGTTAAGCAACTCTCACACACACCATCGAACTCTCGTTATATATATGAAGATACCTGTAAAATACAGTTATGCAATTTCTGCATACAAGACTAATTCATAGGTTGCGTTCTGCAATACCTGCAGACACGCAATTATTATATGTTATATTCTGCTTTATAACGCTTGTAAACACACACGCCTCGCAACTCACACCAACACACGCCGACAACAGTACCTGAAATTCCACGTATGGTGAAATTCAATACACCGCACGTAGCCTTTATTTCTACGTCTTGAAGGACTGCAATTGCGACGTATCGGTAATTGATTGTCTAAGATATTGCCTTTGCGAAATTTATTTACCATAGTAAGTCATTCGATATCTGCTTGTCTTCTGGCATCGGAATACTCCCTTAGGATTTTGCTCATGATCGTCCGTTTCTGTTCAATATTAGGTTCAACATTTTCTTTATCGAACATTGGACGGTCAACGTCGTCGATGCGATTGTTCACTTTAGTTTACAAAGTGTTGACACTTGATATCATATGGTTAACCTTTTTCATGGGCATTTCAGCTTTTTTAAAGTTGATTCCTTATGCTTACTCATTTTCTTTTGAAAAAAAAACTTTAATAGCGGAACTCGAAAAAACCGTGTACCTAGTAGAGAAAAAACTGAAGGCTTCGAAAGAGCGGTGCGAGGAGGCGCCGCCTAACGATTGTTTTTAGGACTCTGAATTTGTGGATCAAATGTAGCTGTCGGAGACAACTACGCATTGTTATAGTAATGTAGGACAGTGAAGACAAATATAATTTGAGATTAACGTTATACCGTAAAAAACTGAAATATTGAACTAATTACATTAACGATGTACATTTTGAAATGTCAAAAATAGATTTATCTGATACAAACTTTTCTTTTAATTTTAAAAATATGGATTTTATAATACGTATATATGATACGAGAAAAAAATCATCAATGTTTTTTCACAAGATATTTCACTTAGTTGTTTCAACAGATGATATAGTCTCACAGCTATTAATGAACTCATTGTATCACAAAATTTTCATAAAGGAAGGTCTTTCATAAAGGAATTCTAACACAGTGTTAAGGGTGAGGTTGAGCAGGGTGAGATCTCAAATAACGAACTA